CGATAATAACCAATAGGCTTGGTTCCCGCCGCGCGGGTAGACTTTTGTATTCGCGCTCAAAAGCCTGAGAAGCAACGTTTCTATAAAGATAAACAATTAAAGCTTCACACGGTCCAGCTCATTATAGTCTAAGCAAAGCGGCTCTTTCTCCACACCTGTTAATCTTGCAGATAAGCGTACACTAGCGTTCATAGAAATGGAATGCATTACACAGGGAGACACACAGGGCACACAGGAGGCATGCGCAGATGCCATAGGAGAGGGGGGGGTTGCCATCCACAGAATTCAATGGCAGCTAGCTGACACTGAGTTGGACAACTCTCAGTTCATAATGCTCCTTTTGAACTGGGGAGTGAGTATTGCACACTGCTAATGTGCATGGTCTGAGCATAGGGAGCACGGATTTCAGCTGCGTCACAAGTTTTCAGTGTCTAAGTCCTAAGGGAACTCTGCTACTTTGTGATAGCTTCTCCAAACCTTGCTCCTAACTAAACTTGTAACTAGACTGTGCAGTAACACCCTTCCTCCCATAGAGCAAAACAGCTTTCCATACGTGTTGGGGAAGCGGCAAAATAATTGGGACTTCCCCCTCAAACAGCTTTGTTCTATCACAAGGAGCCACGTTTTATAGTAAGTAAGGGATTTCATCTCTATTGACCTTTAGCTGGTGATCCTCCATGAAAACAGAAATGCCTTTTTCCAGTGCTGAGGAAACAAAACGACTTTGGTACCTGATTTGTTCGCCATAAATTATCCGTCGCTAAACTGCCAGCCAACATATTAACAGCCACCCATCCACAGAGCGGGATTTATTATTACTACTCATTGAATTGGCTCACAACCTGTTTACTGGGATTAGCTGAGCAATTCATGAATGACCAAGCCTGTGAAAGTCAACGTAATATATTACGACAAGGGGAGACTAATTCCAGTAGTTAATCTGTCCTATTCTTTTGCTGAAATTTGGAATGACCTCTGCTGTTGAGAAAAACAAAACAAAACAAAAAAAACCCCAGCCAAATAAGAAAACCAAACGCCACGAGCAACAGCCACAGTTAGATAAAGCAATGATTAACAAATTAAGGAAGGAGCACCAGCCAGGAATACTGTCTTTGGTGGTGGAATGTACGTTTTACATGCTGAAAAGAAGGAGGAGGAGGAGAAGAAGAAGAAGAAAAGAAGAAGAGATTGGATTTATACCCCGCCCTTCACTTGGAGTCTCAGAGCGGCTTACAAACTCCTTTCCCTTCACCCCATATATTGGCCTTTGTCTGTACCCTTCGCTGTTCCATTTTCTCCTTCACCCCTCCTCCCGTCAGCAGTCCAAAGATCTCCTGCTTGCTATCAAAGCCTATTCTCCCTTTCAGCCCCTGCTTGGAACTCCCGTCAAATGTCAGCCTTTTTCAATATCGTTTCAGCATGACAGTATTATATGCACGAATGATGTACATTTCTAGTGTAAACATCGGAGCCGCTGCCCCCTATGCGATTCTCTATTACTCGAGGAGAAGAAGAAGAAGAAGAAGAAGAAGAAGAAGAAGAAGAAGAAGAAGAAGAAGAAGAAGAAGAAGAAGAAGAAGAAGAAGAAGGCAGCCGCAGTCACACATGCTAAATAAACCACTTTCAATGCACTTTCCAACTGGATTTTGCCACTTCACACAGTAAAACCCAGTTGGGAAGCACATTGAAAGTGGATAGTGTGGCCACAGCTGAAGAAGAATAAGAATTGCTTTTCATACCCCACTTTTCTCCACCTTAAGTGGCTTCCCTTCCCTTCCTCTCCCTACAACAGGCACTTTGTGATGTAGGTGGGCCGAAGAGAGTTCCGAGAGAACTTGTGACTGGCCCAGGGTCACCCAGCAGGCTTCATGGGGAGGAGGAGTGGGGAATCAAACCCGATTCTCCAGATTAGAGTCTGCCGCAAACCACTACACCAAACTGGTGAAGAAGAAGAAGAAGAAGAAGAAGAAGAAGAAGAAGAAGAAGAAGAAGAAGAAGAAGAAGAAGAAGAAGAAGAAGAAGAAGAAGAAGAAGAAGAAGGCAGCTGCAGTCATACATGCTAAATAAACCACTTTCACTCCACTTTCAATGCACTTTCCAACTGGATTTTGCCACTTCACACAGTAAAACCCAGTTGGGAAGCACATTGAAAGTGGATAGTGTGGCCACAGCTGAAGAAGAATAAGAATTGCTTTTCATACCCCACTTTTCTCCACCTTAAGTGGCTTCCCTTCCCTTCCTCTCCCTACAACAGGCACTTTGTGATGTAGGTGGGCCGAAGAGAGTTCCGAGAGAACTTGTGACTGGCCCAAAGTCACCCAACCAACAGGATGTGGAGGATTCGAGACTCAAACCCAGTTCTCCAGGTTAGAGTCTGCCGCTCTTAACCACTACACCACACTGGCTCTCCTTAGAGAAGAAAGAACAATTCATTTCAAAATCTTAGAAGAGGGATGACCACCTCTTTTCACTGCACCACTCAGCTGTAGCCCATCCCCAGTGATCCAGTGTCTCTCTCTCTGTTCACCCCATATATTGGCCTTTGTCTGTACCCTTCGCTGTTCCATTTTCTCCTTCACCCCTCCTCCCGTCAGCAGTCCAAAGATCTCCTGCTTGCTATCAAAGCCTATTCTCCCTTTCAGCCCCTGCTTGGAACTCCCGTCAAATGTCAGCCTTTTTCAATATCGTTTCAGCATGACAGTATTATATGCACGAATGATGTACATTTCTAGTGTAAACATCGGAGCCGCTGCCCCCTATGCGATTCTCTATTACTCGAGGTAAGAATCGCATTAGGCGTCTGCGGGAAAGAATAACCCTGCCGCGGAAGGTTTCCCTTATCTGACCCCGATCATCTGGACCCGTTTCTCAGATCTATCAAGCCAAATTAAATGACCCATTTTTCATCTTGCCGACTACAGGAATTCCACTGAACTCGCAAGAACGGCTTGGAAAATATTTATACCTTTTGACGGAGGTTGAAGTCCTTTTATTTCCATCCGCATTTGTGCTTTTGAAATAATTCGTAAGCGGTGAATGGAGAAAAGGATTTTAAAACACAAACGCGCACACGCACGCACACAAAGATTCCAAAGTGAAAAAGATTTCCAAGCAACTCATCTACTTTCATGTATCAAGGAAAATCAAGGGGGAGAAAAAACCCTGCTGTTTTCTTGACTTCACAATACATCTTCATTGATTCCAGTTCATTGTTTTCCCAAAGACTGGCTAATCAAGTTGAACGCTCTCCTTCTGCAGAACTTCTCGACTGCCGTTCGCACGACGGGGCATCGGCCGGCCTGCTGAGCGGCGGAATTATACAACGGGTCGCACAGAAAGAGTTGCAGCCCATTAAAATGTACATTTGCATCTGCTTTCTGGCTCATCTAGCATGCTGCAATATTTTTTATGTGATTTGCAAGGCTGAAGAGGGAGAAAAGCTCTTTCCAGGGGAAATAAATTGGAGCTGTAATCTAGCATACACTGTGATAGATGTGAGGCACCCCATGTTGGGGTTTAATATGCCAATGGGGAGCTTCACTTGGAGAGTCACCTTTGCCCTGCAACATTCAATGCATGGCAGATAGCACAGGCACTCTGAGGCTCAGGGAGGAAGGTCCAAGAGCCAAGCAGTGGTTCCTGTGCCTCCAGGACTACAGGTCACAGGAAGAAACTGCAGGTGGTTCAATGTGTTGGAAATGTATGGGTTGCAAGGTCTCAGATTCCAGCCATTATAGGGTTAACTTGTTTACCTTCTCTACCATTGTTTAGACTGACCTGGAAGGAAACCCGGCAGACAGCCAATGCTAGTGAAGCCTGGGAAATCTGACTGTGTTTTGTAACACTGATTGTTTACTGGTTTCAGGTGACTTCCTTCTAGGGGTCAAGAAGAAGCAGATTCTCCATTGTTGTGTTGTTATTGTGTGACCGCGCAAGGCAGTAAGATGTGACAGTGCAGCTCTAGATATGTTTGTTATTTTGTAGGTTTCCTGTGTACCTTTTACCCTTAGAAATAAAGCTTTTTAAACAGAAAGAAATGTCTCTAGTGAAACAAAGATCTATTGCAAACTCTATTTAAGTATTTTTGACTATTTGCCCCACAATGGACTAAAAATCTCAGATTTCCAGGAGTCAGGTGAGGCAGAAATGCCAATCCAGCACTGCTTTCTGTTATAGCCAGTGTTCCCTCTAAGCTGAGTTAGTGTGAGCTAGCTCACAGGTTTTTAGCCTCCGGCTCACACGATTTTGTCTTAGCTCAGGAAGGATGGCTCCAGAGCACACTGATTTATGCAGTAGCCAAATTGCTCACTCACAACTTTAATGCCAGTAGCTCTCAAAGTAGAAGTTTCTGCTCACAAAACTCCACAGCTTAGAGGGAGCATTGTTTATGGCCTGTTTGTACCTCCTCTATCTGGGCAAAGCATTGCCAAGATGAACCACTAAATTGCCCCTTCTTCTTTACATTTAAGGACATTTACCAGCTTCCTGTCAGTTGCCACCTTACACTTCCTGTTCCTAGCTAGCTTCTTGATCTGTTCAGTCCCGCTGCATCTGGCCAGATCTCACAAATATAGGAACTGTAGCTTTTTGTTGTAGAGCTACAACTTCTCACCCTGTGCAGTCTCAGGGTCCTAACCTTTCCAGCACTGACTTTTTGACATGGAGAAATGCTGTCGATACAGGGACAATCACAAACCTTAACCAAATCATCACAGTGAACTTTAAAAAACAGTAGCTAATGGGGGATTACCAGAGACTCTGTGTGTGGGGAGAGGAGCTGGCACCTATAATTCAAGCTATAAAGAAGACTACTCAGAAAGGTGCTTGAAGGTAACATGGGAAATCCTTCAAAAATTATGTATTTCAAATATGGGGGGAAAACCCTGAACATTATATCACGTGACTGCCATTAGTCATGCATCCCTGAATCTCTTTGTCAATCATCACATTAGAACAAGGAGATAATAATGTGTGTGGCAATGCGATGTGCCAGAACTCACCTGGTAGGTGGCTGCCACTTCTCTATCAAGGGGTCGCGTCACCATGACCTCTCCGGTATTCTCAATGATCTTGAAAAATCCTTTCGGCTCCTGCTCCACTCCCTTCCCAAAAATTCTGAATTTCGCGCCCTCTGGTCTGTCGTTGTCTACAACCTACAAGAGCCAAGAGAAATGAGAAGGACTGAGGTCAAATCAATGGAAAGAACCTCTTAGCAATCACTTGGAGGCTACTTAGGCTTACGGTTGCCCATCATGACAGGTGACCTGCCACCTCTGCTGGCCCTCTTCTGCTCTCAAAGTGGGAGAAAATGAGAGGAAGTGACGTTGTGGACATGGCAACGTCACTTCTGTAAGCTACCTTCACGATAATCTAGGAATCTGCCTAATCTCTATGGTCCTCACCATAGGATTTTTTAGAGCATCAGAGGGGATGTGCGAGCGGTCGCCAGGAAATAGCGTTGCCACATCAGATGAATGAAATTTTTTTAAAAGAGCATAATAGAACATAACAGAAGCCATGTTGGATCAAACCAATGGCCCATCCAGTCCAACACTCTATGTCACACAGTGGCCAAAAGCCAAGTGCCGTCTGGAGGTCCACCAGTGGGGACAGAATTCCTGAAGCCCTCTCCTCAACCACCAAGATTACAAAGCATGATTGCTCAGACATAGTGTTCCATCAATGCCTTGCAGATAACAGCCATTCATAGACCTCTGCTCCATATGTTTGTCCAATCCGCCGCTTCCTGTGGCAGTGAATTCCACGTGTTAATTACTCTTTGGGTGTAGTACTTCCTTTTGCCTGTTCTAAGCCAACTGCTCATTAATTTCATAGAGTGCCCACGAGTTCTTGTATTGTGAGAAAGGGAGAAAAGTACTTCTATATCTGCCTTCTCTATCCCATGCATAATTTTGTAAACCTCTATCATGTCACCCCCTCAGTCGTCGTTTCTCCTAGCTAAAGAGCCCTAATCTCTTTAACCTTTCTTCATAGGGAATGTGTTCCATCACAATTGTGGTGGAATGCACCTGTTCTGGCCTTCAGGCCTTATTCTGCCCTGCCTCTCTGGGATTATCTCAATACCGGAGAGGTTTTTCTTTCACTCTCAGGGTAGCTTGCCACCACAACCTAACCTTTTGCAGTAATTGCTCACCGGGATGGTCAATGGACTCCCAGCTTCCCTTCCAAGTTCTGAGGCCTTGCCTCTGTGTCTCCCACTGCCCAACACCTCATCACCTGTCAGTCTCCCAGTCAACTTACTTTCAACAACTCTTTCTTGGCAGTGATAAGTTTATTGAGATATATGCATGATCCAGAAAGTCACTGTGTTAGAACTAAAGACTTTTGGTGGGCACAAGATTAATATAGGTAATTCGAAGGTCACACATTCACGCCACGCCTAGCGTTGCCATCTCAACCAAGGAAAAGATATGTGTCTTGGTTATCTACTGTTCAAGCTGGTACCAAAAGCTTCTCAAGGACACCTCACCCTGGGAAAGGGCAAGGAGGTACAACTTGCGAGAAAAGTTATGACTTCTACAAGCAAAGGTCCCACTCTCTTATTCATTCACTCAACTCCCCTCCGCATAGGAATTCCCAGCGAAGCAAGGTTTGACATCATCACATGGAGAATTTACTGCCTTGAGCACCCCTGGAGGAATAGCCACTTGCCAACTGCCTGCCTTCCTCCAGCGTCCATTTTAAAACAGTGTGTCAGAGACAGTGGAAGTCTATGTGGTACAGAAAATCACGGAAAGCATGAAAAGTTATAAAGTATTGATTAAAAAGAAAATGTTTTCAAGCATATGTTTAGCATGGCACCAAACTGATCGAGGGAACTAAAATGAATGGGAAAATGCAAATCCTCTGTCCCTTTTATGTTGCCGAAGGCTTTCACAGCCGAAGTTCATTAGCTGTTGTAGATTTTCTGGGTTGTATGGCCAAGGTCTTGGCATTGTAGGACCTGACGTTTCACTAGTAGCTGTGACTGGCATCCTCAGCGGTATAACACAGAAAGAAAAATGCCTACCATTTTTCTTCTCACCTTGACACAGAAAGCGCTCCATCTTTCTGTGTCAAGGTGAGAAGAAAAATGGTAGGCAGGTAATGTATATCTAATCAGGAAGGTGGGGTCCTCTGTCCTTTTCTCTATACATGTCCTACCAGAAGTTAAAATAGGAAAGGCTCCTTTTTCTTAGGATGTAACAGATCCCTATAGAATCACCATTACCTTGAAGCTTGCTCCAGCAAGTGCTGCACACACATTCCTTTACACACAGAGAACTGCCCTAGCATTTAGAAGTGTCGGTTTTATACCCCTCTGAAAGCAGACTACATTCCTATGTAGTGGTCATGCCCCAGGGCTCAAGATTACTGGGAAACAGTACAGAAGATAGGATGACTGGTCCTCAATTCGAAACCTGAAAGATATCTCTTAAATTACATTGATAAGTACTGTTTCCAGAGAGGTACTGTGGTATGTTCCGATCTGCACAGTGACAGTATTTCATGTTCTTGAAAACAACCGACGTTGCTTGGCAAATGAGAACATTCTTAAACATGGGAGAATTGTTATAAATAGTCAAACTAACAGCAAGTTAAAATTCTAAGAATATTTTAGATGACAAAAATCGGCAACAACTGGCTGAATTAAGCAACGATGACAACAAACACACACACACACACACACTAAACCTGTTAGGAATGAATTGATAAGAAAGGAACAACTGTACAATTTATCCATCTCTGTGTTTGTTTATTTTAAACTGTGAACTAGCTTGTATTGTTTGCTTTGTATACTGGTTCTGATTGTGTATGTTGCATTTATTTTTTATATATATATATTATATTATAAATTATAAATATATATATTATAAATGATAGTGATAGATGATAGATGATGATGACAGATGTTGCTAGATGTTGCTAGATGACAGAGAGAGAGAGAGAGAGAAAGAGAGAAAGAGAGAGAGAGAGAGAGAGAGAGAGAGAGAGATTAAAAGACTACCTGGGCATTGAAGTGAATGTGTAACCCCAGGAGTTCTTTGGAGGTCATAACTAGAGAATGCAAAAGGTTTCTATGTTCAGGGAAGGCGGAATTTACTCTTCTGCAAGGCTGTTTTCCTTTGTGACCTCTGTTCTATCAGGGCTATTTTTGGGCAGGAACGCACAGGAACGGAGTTCCGGCTGGCTCCCGAGTTGGCCACGCCCAGCAGGAACTCATTAGCATAATAGGCCACACCCAACAGCAGGAACTCATTAGGATTGGCTACATTAGGGGTGTGTGGCCTAACATGCAAAGGAGTTCCTGCTACAAAAAAGGACCTGGGTTTTGACAACAACCAAGGTAAACAGAATAAGAAGCAAAAGGTGAGTGTGGCTGGATAACCACACTTCTGGTAACATGGGGGTGCGGCCTAATGTGGTAATGAGCTGTGCTGTCAGGGGTGTGGACTAATATGCTAATGAGTTCCTGCTGTTGGGTGTGGCCTGTTATGCTAATGAGTTCCTGCTGGGCTTTTTCTACAAAAAGAGCCCTGATTCCCTTCTTTGTAAACCCACAGTTTCTCCTGATATCACTTTTACAGTCTTTGTCATTCTCCTTCCAGATTTTGTGCTCTCACTCCGAGCTCCCTCTCACACTCAGGTTCAGGAGAAAGCTGCACAAGGAAAGCGCTTCTGCACCAAAGCATGGATGCAAGGATCCTGATGTGTCCCCCCCAAGCCCGGGCTTCTGGCTTTGCTCTTTAAAGCCTGGAAGAACAGTGCAGGCAATTACAAAGCCGAGAGCGTTAAGATTTGCAATGATTTGTTTAATGTTTAATTAGCCACCAGAGGGAGCTGCGTGCTCCCAGAAATAAGACAGAAATATGAACATCTTCTAATTAAGATGCTCCTGTAATGGGTCCATAGTTCAAAGGAAGTGTGTTCCCTTGTTCACGCTAAACCGTGTACAGATAAAAAATGCCCAAGCAGAAATCAAGACCATCACTTTGTGCAGCAGGCTTTGGTTGAAGGAGAGAGGAAGGGAAGAACCAAAGACTATTCCAAATGCCTCTTCCTCGCACAAGAGTCAGGAAGTATCCTTGCTCTCAGAACCATTACTGTGCAGCCAGTAGGGTCACCTCACCAACCTCCCGGTGGGGTCTGCAACAATGTTCCCTCTAAGCTGAAGAGTCTTGTGAGCAAAAAAAAAAACAATCTACTTTGTGAACTGCTGGCATTAAAGTGGTGAGCAAGCGGCTTGGCTAAATTAATTTGCTCTGGAGCCATCCCTTCCTGAGCGAAGACAAAAATGTGTGAGCAGGAGGCTAAAGGACTGTGAGCCTAGCTCACACTGACTCAGCTTAGAGGGAACACTGGTCTGCAGTCCTCTTGGGAAATACAACTGATCTCCAGACTACAGAGATCAGTAGGGTTGCCAGGTCCTTCCTAGTTCCCGGTGGGGGACTTTGGGGGGCGTTTCTGGAAGGTTAGGGGATGTCCCCAATGCGATGATGTCGCACAGAAGTGATGTCATCACCTTAGAAACCAGCGTCCCACTCACCTGCACTCTAAGCGGTGAATGTATTGAGATATATGTCAGAGTGATAGAGGTAGCAAGCAGTTACTATAGATCAGTTTGATCTGTTTGTCAGACCTAGCTGTCATGCTAGTAATCATGTAATTACAGCCAGGTGTTTTCTAGCAGATGTTGCTCTTTCAGGGCTTGTTAGAGCTAGCGATTACATCACCTTGTTAGAGACTGGCTGGGGTTTAGCATAATAGCTATCAGCTTAGTAAGCTGGAGGGGGACTTAGTTCTCATAGACTGTATATATTCACCTTTATAACTATATAAACTCTCTGTGCACCTTCATAACTGGTTAGTCTCCCGCTTCTTATTTACAACACCCAATAGAATGTGCTGCTTGGAGTTCAGCCTCCCCCCCCCCCCCCCCTGCTTCTTGCCAAAAGCATTTAAAGGGACCCTGAATGCCAAGTGGCGAATTCACTGCTTAGAGTCCAGGCATTCCCCTCCTGCAAGATTTAAAGGGCCCTCCAGCTGATCGCTGGGCCACATGCTCCCGACAATCAGCTGGAGGAGGGCCCTTTAAATCTCGCAGGAGGGGAGGAAGAGGGGTGGGGCAGCCACGGTTGGGGGTGGGGCTTGG